GGAAAGAAGGATAAGGAGAAGCAGCCATCCATCAATGTCATCCAAGGACCCAAACCTGGCAGGCCAACTGAACTCTCTAGAATGCGTCAAATACTTGTGAAACTCAAACACAACCCCCCTGAGCATATGAAGCCTTCTGCAAAACCATCTTCGGAACCAGGAAAGGATGCAAAGACAGGAATAGAAACTTCTGTTGCTGCCTCTGCAAAGCCTCAAGCTACTACTGCTGCATCTTGAAGGTTTATTCTCTGCTGCACAATGAAAATGCTACTGTGTTGATCTTGTAAAGCAGTCATCCTTTATACGTTAACTTAAATGTTATGAGTTTGAGAATAACTCCTATCAGGAAGTTTTTACCTTCATTTCTAGTTTTAGGAGCTAATATGTGCATAGAGAAAAGTGTCTATCCTTTACTGTGTTCATAGTCTCTGCTGTAAACTTCATCTTCATATCTGAAATTTGGAGTTACATAGTAGCTCATTCTGTGTGATTGTCTCTCTTTCTCCCTTATCAGCTACTGCCAACTTTACATTACATGAGAAAATGTATGAAAAAAGCTAAGTCTAATGTGAGACAATACATTTACTCCTCGATAGCCCATGTTAGAATAACGACATTATACAAGTATGAAGAATAAGAACACCAGTTAACATTATCTAGGAAGCATTTGGGTGACACTCTGAAAGCTCTCAAACTTTGTTGATGTTACAAAAGGATTTACAGATTGCACCCCATTCTTCCCCGCGGAGGATGATTTCTGCAGACTACCATAACTTGATCGTTTCGAGCTATGTGGTCTATAAACTCCTGGTTCAGTTAACGACTTCTCGTTGAGGTTGACTTCCTTAGACAACATCTCAATCACTTGTTTCATATTAGGTCTTTGGGTAGGTGCTGATTGTGTGCAAAAGAGAGCAACTTTGATGAACCGCAGTAATTCAGTTTCTGGATACTCTGTTAGCTCTGGATCAATGATTTCCAGAAGCTGTCCTTCTTCTCTTAGCTTCCATACCTGCAACGCGTAAACTTTCAAAATGCTGATTACTGATGAATCTTGAAGATCATAAAGCTGAAAGTATAATCCTACCCATTCCACCAGAACCAAGAGATCCACTCCAAATGCCGATTTACTACTGCTTCTTCCACTTATGATTTCAAGTACAAGAACTCCAAAGCTATAGACATCAGCCTTTTTCGTGAGTTGTCCAAACAAGGCATACTCCGGAGCAAGATAACCTCTGCACATCAGAATACCTTACTGAGACGAGACAGGAGAGGAATATCGAATGTTATGAAACTGAAATTCAATGTAACTACTCACATTGTTCCTGCTACTCGCGTACTTAGATGAGTGACATTTTCAGGAAAAAGCTTAGCCAGACCAAAATCTCCAATTTTAGGATGAAGGTTTTCATCTATAAGGATATTACTAGCCTTAATATCTCGATGAACAATCGGTGGTGAGGCTTCTTCATGAAGAAATGCTAAACCAGATGCTGTACCTAAACATATAGCAACTCTCTGAGGCCAATTCAGGGCAACGCGCTTACCATTAGAACCTGAAATAACAATTTTAACCCGTCCAGATTCAGTCCAATCTGCTCATTTAACATTCCTAACTTCAACTATGACATGTTCATTTGGTTCAAAATAAGTTTTTTTTTAAAACTGATCTATGAGAACATTACCTAGTAAAGCACTGGCAAGGCTGTTATTCTTCAAGTATTCATATATCAACATTCTATTGCCACTCTCCACACAACAACCAATCAACTGAACAAGATTTGGATGTTGGGTATTTGAAATCATATTAATCTCTGTTAAGAATTCTTTAGTCCCTTGTTTTGACTCAGCAGAGAGACATTTAATGGCAACACAAGTTCCATCTCTCAAAACTCCCTACATTTAAAGAAAAAAGTTGCACAAGTACAAAGAGTGGAAATATATAAAAGATTTAACCTATATATATTGGTAGTGTAAAATATTTTTACATTATTAATGTAGCAGGTAATCTACCTTATTTAATTTAATTTTTATGATGGTGGTGTTTGTATCAGCTTATGTATACCTCGACTATTCCACCAAAGATTAGTTACATTGGAAGGAATCTATCTAGGCTGCAGTACCCTTTTTGGGCCTCCATTGAGATTTGAACCTAAAAATCTCATTATTCCCCATCCCACTTCATTGATCATTAGGCTGCATTTATTACATGCTCTCATTTTTCTACTCACTAGCAATCCCACTTCGACTGATTTAAATTATTATAGTTATCTTTTAGGTGACTTCTTCTAAATTTTGAACGTATAGATGTTAAACTCAGTACTTAATAACTAGCATCCACAAGGACCATTAAAAGGCATGACACCATAAACAAGAGATGATTACCTTATAGACAACTCCAAAACCACCACCTCCTATTTTGTTAGATGGATGGAAGTGACCTGTTGCTGATCTCAATGAGTTATAGGAAAAAACCCTCACATTGTTGGTCGTGAACTCTACACAATGAAAAACACAAAAAGAAAATGAAAATTATGTGAAGTACTTCTCAAATTAGGATGGACTACAAAAAGTAGAGCAGAAGCGTCAAATCTTTAAATTTTTTGGATTCTGAATTTTATAAGAACGATTTGTTTTAAGCATGTAATTGAGAAAACAGAAATAAGAGTTATGAGTGTACTTACCTTGGATTTGAGTCTCTCTATTGTTTTTGTATGATTGCAAAACTCCAAAGCAATTCCAACCCATTGCTCAAATATTCAAAATTTTAACTTTGTAGCACCTAATATTTCTGCAAATTAATGAAAAGGAAATACGAAAAAAATAAATAATCAACTACTATAAAATCTACTTAGACAAATGGGAAAAACATGAAAATTTAGATAATAATCTATACGTACATGATTTCTTGTTGTGATTGAAAATCAAAAGCCATTATAGTTGAAATAAAAGCATGCCGGACGCTAGCTATATACAACTTTTTAGTTGAGTAGAGATATAACTTTGTACTTTATAATAAATGCTATAATTAAATGTATTTATAGTACCATCTTGCAAGAGAGGGAGTTATTATTATACACAAAATAAAATAGGATTAGAGGGGTTGGCCAAGGTGCACAAATGAAGCCGCCATTGAGGTTTGACTTTTTTATTTATTCAGTGTCTGATATTTATATTGAAGTTTGATTAATTTAAATTTGCATCGTATATTTTTTATTTAAAAGATGTTCTCCCTATTTTTTTTTTATATTCAACGTTCAAAACTAAAATTTCTGATTTAGAGAGAGAACAACGGTTGCACCATATTCTTGATGTGTGAGGTTGACTTTGTTTCATTTTGTGTCTTTCTTTTTTTTTGGCTTTAATTTCATTTCAATATGTTTATGAAACTAGTGTCACTTTTATTTTATTTTTTCATTTTATTTTTAGTGATAGCTTATAAGGAATAGCATCATGACATATTTAATAAATCACAATTGAAAGATAGTATTGAACACCTTTAGTATCAAATAATAAGATCCTTAAAAAATCTCTTTATATTTTTGAACTTATTGATTTTAAAAAGTCCTTGCAGCCTTCAATTCGATTTTTAAAAAAGGTTGGGAAACATTCTTTCTAATTTCATTTAAGAAAGAAGTTCTTTTAATTAAATTAAAACACATAAAATAAAACGAGAGTAAAATATTCAGGAAAAGAAGTATATTTCTCTATCTTGTTATTGACCATCTTTATTAGGATTCCTTGCTATATCTAAGAGATAAAAAGCCTTAGATTTGGTCAACCTAAACAAGTCATTTTCAACCACTAGCTTATTTTATGCGCCTCTTGTGATGTTTGGTGGCAGGAAATAATTATTAATACCTAATAATCATGAAAATGTCAAAGCACAAAGGTAACACCTTTTTCATTTTTTATTTCTAAGAAATAAATATAATTCTCATCCTAATTTAATACTCCTATCACATAGTACTATCCTTATTTTGATTTTTCAATTTCATCAATGTAATATTCATTTATACAAACCATAAAATAAATAGGTCAAATTAATATTTTAAACAATGTATCCAATAAAAAATATGATTACATAAAATAAAAGCGAAAGAAGCATTCAAAGGAAGAACATGCAAAGATGGTAACGACAGTTAAATTTTCAGCCATAATTAAGAATGTGTTTCGGATGCGATTTTCAATTTTTAAAATATTTTCTAAAAACATTTTTCTAGAAAAATAAGTTTTTTGAATATGAGAAAAATGACTTCCGTAATGATATTAGGAAAAATAAATTGAATAAGTGACATTATTCCAATGCTTCCCAGTTCCCACCCACCTAATGACATTATGTCATGGAAATTCAATAACTTATATATATGATTTTTTTTTTATTTATACTCTATTTCCATTACATGATATTAGAGGAAAGGGATTTAGTTGGACCCCTTATACTTCTCTCTTCGCCTTGCTAATTTTTAGCTGTAATATAAATTTTAACTTTTTTGATGTACATTCTAACTTAACTATTATTCAGATTTCTATCATTCAATATTTCCCAGAGCAAATAAATAAGAATAGTGTAAAGGGAACTTGAACTTGAGTACATTTTATTCATGAGGTGATAACTTCACTTATTGTAGGATTGTTCTTTTATATGAATTTATATAATTTTTTAATTACACAGGGAAGGTATGTAACTTATAATGATGATAAATAAAATGATTCAATTAGTCATCATATTCATAGACAGCGTAATTAAGTAAAATGATTCAATATTATCTGTTTCTTCGGATGATATGATATGATATGATGGTCAATCATTTGCTTAGCAAAAGAGTGAAAATTAAGTAGCTAATTGGTATTCATGACAATATATATAATCATCCATTGAGAAATTACTTAAAAAGGATAACATTCATAAATTAAAGTACATGTTTATGCCTTGAGTTTACTCACTCAACATTCAAAGAGAAGTTGAAATAGATAGATAGATAGACAGGATACTAGCTAGTGATGATCATTTACAGGGCGGCAATGGAGCACCACACAAGCATTTGTTGTGAAAATACTCATATATCTCAAATCTCTGCATATTCTCACCCTTTGGAATCTTGCCACAAAGTCTATTATAACTCACATTCAAGAGTTGCCACGGATTCTTCGACATGATTTTTGGAAGACTCCCATAAATCTTGTTATGATTTAAATCCAACCTCCATAATCTCTTCCCAAATGTCAACTTTGACATGTCAAATTCAAACTTATTCCTATCCAAAAGCATTTGAAATGTATTCTTTTCTTTACCAAACAAAAATGAAACATCCCCTTCAAGCATGTTCCTTGACAAGTCAATTGTCTCAATACTCAAGCCAGCAAATGAAGTTGGGACAATCCCTGTAAGTTGGTTATGTCCAAGGTAAATATACGTTAGATTTGGAGCTAACTTGCTAAAAAACTCCGGGATTGGTCCACTAAGTTTGTTTCTGTCTAATCCTAAAAACTCCAAGTGTGGAAGTTGAGATAGCGAAGGTGGGATAGTTCCAACAAGCTTATTATACGACAAGTTAATGTACGTTAAGCTTTTCAACCTACTAAGAACTTCAGGTACAGGTCCAGAAATGTTTGTTTGACTAATTCTGAAGAATTCGAGATTAGTGAGTTTAACGATTGTTGATGGAATTGGACCGGTGAGATTACGTACATTGTGGATACTGAATGTTGTAAGGTATGTAAGGTCTCCGATGGCGGGGGAGAGGTATCCGGCCATATCCATTTTGGTGAAGGCGATGACGTTAATACGATTGGTTTTTTCATCACATTTGATAGTAGGTCCGTACCAATCAGTACAACAATCAGTTTTGGGATCCCAATTACCCAAGTCATCAGGATTGCCTAGACCTTTTTTGAATTCTAGGAGGGCTTTTTTGTCATTTGGATGGCATCTTTCAGATGAAGAGAGTTGAGAAAGAAACAAGAGAGAAAAAGAAAGAATGGAAACTAGAGAGGAGGGATTCATTTTATGAAAAAGATAGTGTGAGATTTTGAGTGTTTGGTTAGTAGTATTTATAGGATGATGATATTTGTGCTTTCTAGTAGTATATATATTTGGTTGTCCCCACTCTCTCCTCTATTTAAAAAAAAAAATTCTTTCATTTCGGAGAAAGAAACCACACTATTTCAATACTGTTAGTCATTTTTTATTAACCTAATCTTTTACTGTTAACGGATTGATTTGATCCACAATTTGTCTCTTCAACTTTTGAAGAGGTCATATAGATGGAAATTCTCTTTCGTCTAGGTAGAGAGGAGGGAATGGAAGACAGAGATAGAGACATAGCTTCCTTCTTGCTTTTCATCATTTCAATAAGGCTTATTTGATGTGAGAATTCCCTTTTAGCATAATTTGGAGTGTGTAATTCGAATATTGTTGAGTTTTCAATACAGATTTCAAACATCGAATAAAATGTCATTATTTTAAAATAAAAATAAAAAAAGGGTAGGCGTTTTAAAAAAATGAGCTGTCAAACACGAAAAAAATGAATTCATTTGAGTGTACGATTAGTCTTTATCAACTTACTGTGGATATAGTGGACATAAAGCTCTTGGGTCTTATTTGTTCATACATTTAATGATGTGAATTTGAATTATTGTTATGAAATGTATTTATTTATGTTAAGATTTAAATAAGATCTAAATAATAAAAACCTTATTTATACAATGCCAAAGTCATCTGCGGCCCCCTAAAGTTGTCCGCATAATTCATTTAGACACTTCAACTAGGACTAGTACCTATTGAACACTTTAACCTTAAGAAATTTATATCTATTGGACACAAAATGAAAATAAGTTGAAAAGCAAAATCGCGTGTAGCTCAAACGCAAATACATAACAGGTGTACCAATGAAACAATGACACGTGGCAGTTGAATTCAATTTTTAAAAAATTCTATTTAAATAATCCAAGAAGAATTTTAAGTAAATAAAAATAGTTTTTTTAATTAACTCCCCCACCCTGTCGTCTTCTTCTTCAACTGGTTTCCCTTCCCGTCGGCGTTGGCATGCAAATAATCGTCTCCTCACTCTTTCATCGGCATCGGCAACACCTCCTATCCATTGCCTTCATCTTCTTTCGATTAATAAATATTATCACAGTTACAAAAAACAATTAAATTTTGATCGGAAAAAAATTGATTCAATTTACTTTCATCAGAATAAATGGAGCTTTCACCAAAATATTAGAAATATGAAAAAAGAGGAAAAAACAGAAAAATAATTGAAGAGGATGAGAGAAAGAGAGAGTTGGAGGGGTGGATGGCATGGGAGGTAAGTACAAACATCCTAGGAAGAAGACGCTTTTTTTAATTGTTAGTTTTTTATTTTATTTTATTTCTTTATTAATTAATGTCAATGATAATAAAGCAAATGAGTGTACTTTTTCAGGAAAAAAAAAAAGGAAAATATCATTTGTTGGTATCTATATGCGCTTATGGAAGGTGGAGAACACGTTTTTTGCCACATCAGTATTTTGTGCTTAATAGATACACAATTTAAATACTTTTGGTGTTCAATAGGTATTAGCTCTAGTTGAGGTGTTTAAATAAATTATGAGGACAACTTTAAGGGGTCGCAGACGACGTTGGCCTTTATACAATAAACATAACACTTAAGCCCACATAGAATGGAGAAAAAGTGGGTCTAAGAATAGATGAGAGTTTGAGGAGACTAAATTTATTATTATTTCCTACATTAAATTTGATAATCAATGGGTTTAAATATCAATCCCCAATAAGTATTTCTTTTGTTATGCTAGTAACTTTTTTATTTTTAGTTATTTTTATTTGGCTCTATCTTGATAGAGCAAGTATTTCTTCTATTATACTAGGTAACTTTTTCATTTTTAGTTGTATTATTGGCTTTATCTTGATAGAGTTCATTTTATTTTAATCATTCATGTTTTATGTCTTATTGATCTTCTTATATTTTCATGAGTAGAATTTTGTGATAATGCATGATTGACAATTAAATTGAGATAGTTATAATTTCGTACACGTAATTAAATACATTTTGCTCATCAATTCATTTGAAACTTTTGGGATGATAATTTTACTGCACCATTTTATTTGTAGAATATATTTTATTTTCTTCATTGATTCATTTTTAAAATCCTAAAAATTTACATCAAATAACTAACTATTTATCTTCAAAGTGTATCTTGATTAATAGGTAAAAGAGCTAACACAAATATTGCAAAAAAATTAAGGACAAAATAACTAAGGAGAGAGAGAATAATGGGAAAAATGAACTAAAAATCCAACAACTTGCAATGTCACAAGTTTCTCATTTTCATTTTTTAAAGGCAGAATGACCTGAGAGACCTTTGTACTTGACTCTGTTTGTCAGTTGAACCCTCATATTCATCACTTTGCCAACTAGACCCTTAAATCCATATGAACACACCATTTTAAGCCCCTTTCTCCTCCGGTCAGTGTATATATGTTCCACTTAATTTTACAAAGACATACAATAATCATTCTTCACGCTCCAAAATAATCAGATCTCTATCACCTAGCCGTCTGTAAATTACCCCTCCCCAATCCCCCAATAGCTTCTCTTCATATATTTTTATCACAAAGACTGAAACAACTACTTCTAGAAAATAATTTCTGAAATACTTCTTGCAAACATATTAAAGATTGTAAAAGATTTCTTTTCTTTTAATTAGTTTTAGTCTCAATTTTTTCTGTTTACGCTCCTTTAACGAGTGAGATCACACGTTTGTTCCACCTCAACTATTAAGTTGCCACATAGGATTGATCAATGGTCAAAGGGATTTAAAATATTGTGTTTCATTGAGTTTAAATGTTCAATTGACAAAGTCATAGAAGGGTCTAGTTGACAATTTGAGCCAAGTATAAGAGTCTCTCAGGTCATTCCGCCTTTAAATTACATTGAAATCAATTATTATTAATTTAGGCAAAATATTATAATATGAAATAATTTTAAACACAAGCACCTTAAAGTTATCTGACATAATATTTTATGGGTAACTATTTCACCATATACAAATTTCATCACTATTATTATTATTATTATTGTAGATAATTCCGACAATATAATCATTTCAAAAAATATAAATTACTATGGAGTATTATTACTATTATATTATTACTACATGAAAAAAACGTTTATTTTTAATTTAACATATTTGAAGGGTGTCGGTAGTGCTTTTTCTTTTTCTTTTTTTTAGAAACATAATGATGAGACTTGCTTTGATGGCCACTTGCAATTAAAATGCATGTTTCAATACTCACTTTATTTTCATTTTAAAATATTACTCCCTGTCAGTGACACTTTTCAGATTTCGAAATTTAACGAGTGTATCTTTGACTATAAATTTTTCATAAATCTTTTAAACATTTTGAATTATCAATTATTTTGACTATAAGTTTTTCATAAATCTTTTAAACATTTTGAATTATCAATTAAAATGTATGTTTCAATACTTAATTTTCATTTTAAAATATTACTCCATCCGTCAGTGACACTTTTCAGATTTCGAAATTCAACGAGTGTATCTTTGACTATAGGTTTTTCATAAATCTTTTAAACATTTTGAATTATCAAATATTGTGACTTATAGTATTTTTTACATAGTTTACAAATATATAAATTTCATTTCAATAAAATTGAAAATTTCATGCGCAAATCATGAAATTTTTGGTCAAACTTAAATTGTTTTGACTCTCAAAAATGAAAAATATCACATAAATTAAAACAGAAGAAGTAATACCTTTTAATTTAAACTCCAAATGCTATTTTCTTTTTCAAATATCAGCAAGGAATAGTAGTAAAGTTGAAATATCTCATCTTACGTTGGACTTAGGGTCCCTCTATTGTCTTTGTATGATTGCTAAACTCCATGCGAAAATTGCTAAACTCCAAAGCAACTCTAACCCGCTGACATGAATTGTGGTGCAGTTAGGGATGTTAAAAATAAACTCAATTATAGGTCACTCGTCCAAAATTTTAATGGTTGGACTTAGAATAATTTGAATTGGATTCAATCTCAACCACTTTAAGTTTTAATCCATTTTAAGAAAATCTTTAATTGAGACCAATTTAATCTCTAATTTCAATCCATTTTAAGACTCTTTATTTGCATTGATGTAATGTATATATTAAAGGTATGAATTACTCTCTATTTTATATCTTTTAGGATTTATCTATCAATTTGTAACTTCTTCTTTTTAAATTTTCTTGAGTTGAAATTCAAATTGTGGTTATAAAAGTTAAATAACAATATGTTAAAATTATAGAGATTAAGCGAGTCGAATTGGGTGGGTCATGACCCAATCCATTTGATATCAAAGTAAACTTGGGCGGGTCAAGACCCAACCCAATTTCTATTTCAACTCATTTTAACATTTCCAATTTCAATTCCACCTGTCCATTTGACACACTTAGGTGCAGTGGTGAGACTGCTTAACCCTTAACCAGAGATTTTGGGTTCGAGCCCTAGATATGGAGAAAATCATGTTGGAAGCGCCACCCTAAATGGGCCTTGCAATATGTGATCCGGATTTAATTAGGCTTCAATGTGGACTCCAAACACCGGGTAGAAAATCAAAAAAAAAAAAAAGCAACTCTAATCCATTGCTCAAATAATTATATTAGGATTTGTTTGACGATGAGAATTTTGTACTTATTTTGAATTTTTATTTTATTTGAAAAATCACGATTTAATTATAAAAATTTTAAATATAACTTAAAGTTGTATTTGAAATTTATAAAACATCCAAAATTCCATTTCACTTTTATAAATTTTTCTTTTCTAATATCCTAATTTTTAAAATTTTATATAATAACCTTTTTTAAGTTAAATTTCATGTTTAAATTTATATTCCATATTTGTATAAAAAATACTTTCAAACTCTAAATACTTTTGCAAAAAATATGATCTAACATAATTATAACCTTGAAACTAAATAAAATTCATGGGCAAACGCCTGTCAAACTTTTTCGC